AAAGTACTGGGATTACAGGCATGAGCCACCGGGCCCAGCCTATTATTATTTTTATTCCTTTAGAGATCGGGTTTCACTATGTTGCCCAGGGTGGTCTCGAACGCCTGGGCTCAAGTAATCTGCCCACCTTGGCCTCCCAAAGTGCTGGGATTACAGGCGTGAACCACCGTACCTGGTCAATACCTGTTCTCTTTTTAATATGACAGCCAGGGTTATCCTTTTAAGCTTCAGATTTATCACTGTGCTGAAACCTTGCAGGGCTCCCCATTTCGCTGAATGAAGGCCCTAGGTGCTCAGGTTTCCCTCTTCTGCCTCTGTCTCTCCTTCACTCTGCTCCAGGCACAATGGACTCACTCCCTTGCGGTTTGTTTTTTTGTTTTTTTGTTTTTTTTGCAATTGGCAAACAGGCTGGGCACGGTGGCTCACGCCTGTAATCCCAACACTTTGGGAGGCCAAGGCGGGCGGATCATGAGGTCAGAAGATCGAGACCATCCTGGCTAACACAGTGAAACCCCGTCTCTACTAAAAATACAAAAATTTAGCCGGGCGTGGTGACGGGCGCCTCTAGTCCCAGCTACTCGGGAGGCTGAGGCAGGAGAATGGCATGAGCCCGGGAGGCAGAGCTTGGAGTGAGCCGAGATCAGGCCACTGCCCTCCAGCCTGGGCGACAGAACAAGACTCTGTCTCAAAAAAAAAAAAAAAAATTGGCAAACAAGCTCTTGTCTCAAGGCTATTGTACTGACTGTTCACTCTGCCTAGAACTTCACCCCATATATCCACATGGCTCACTCCCCTACCTCTCTTCAACTCTACAAGAAGGCCTACTCTTTTTAAATTGCAATGCACACTACGACTCTCTATACTCATCATCTCCCTTCCCATCTTACTCTGTTTTTTTTTCCACGGCATTACCTTATTATGTTTATTAATTGTATGTCCTCCAACTGACTGTAAACTCCACGAGGACAGGGATACTGTTAGGACAATGCCTGGCATGCATGAATCAGTGACTGAGGTATTGTGAGGGAATAGTCCCTCCAAGTCGGAGGAAATGAAGTCAGATGGCAGTAATTCTCCAGGATGCCACAAGAGGGCATCACCAGCCCTGACATTGTTGGTCTAAGGCAGTTCTGCTTTCCCCAAACTTATTTTAAGCCTCAGCTTTCCTTTTTTTGTACCTACAGAGGAGAGAAGAGTTAACTATACATATATATGTTTTGTTGTTATGTTTTCTTTAAAGCTAAATGGATTTCCTATTTTTTTTAATTAATTAATTTATTTATTTATTTGTTTGTTTATTTTGAGACGGAGTCTCACTCTGTTCCCAGGCTGGAGTGCAGTGGCCGGATCGGCTCACTGCAAGTTCCGCCTCCCGGGTTCAAGCAATTCTCATGCCTCAGTCTCCAGAGTAGCTGGGACTACATGTGTGCGCTACCACCACACTCAGCTAATTTTTTTTTTCTTTTTTTTTAGAGATGAGGTCTCACTATGTTGTCCAGGATGATCTCCAACTCCTGGGCTCAAGTGATCCCCTGCCTTGGCCCCCCAAAGTGCTGGGATTGTAGGCATGAGCCACTGTGCCTGGCTTGAGTGTGCCTAGTCTTGTTGTTTCTTTTGAAGATTTCTCCTCTTCAATTCAGTCTCATTCAAGTTGGAGTGAGGCAGGGCTCCTGGTCTGGAGTCTCTTTTCTGTCTGCTTTACACCCTGCTGATTTCATCCTGTCTCAGAACTTTAAGTATCATTATAGGCCAATGACTCCTACATTTCTATTTCCAGCAAAATATTTCCACCTCATTGTGTCTAAAACTGAACTCCTAATCTCGCGCCACTTTCCCCAATTCAACTCATGGCAACTCATCCTTCCTATAAAACAAAACAAAATAGTGGAGTGCTTTTTGATGTCTGTCTTTAGCATCCATATCTATTAGATCTGTTGGCTCTATCTTCCAAATACATCCAGAATCCAACCATATCTCACTACCTCTATTGCTAATATTCTGGGCTGCGCCACTATCATCTCTCTGCAATGTTATTCTGCTTTTCTCCCTCTTCCTCTTCTCTTTTCTTTTTTCTTTTTTTTTTTTTTTTTTTTTTTTTTTTTTTTTTTT